AGGTTGCCACGGCGAACGATGTTTGCCAAGGCTGGTAGCGATTGGAAAACGAAGGGCAGTCAAGCTAAGACTTGGCATGAGGGTATGAAAACCCCAACCAGGAGACTAGGTCACATAGGCCCCGTTAGGCTCCCTGGCTGGGGACCTCGGGATGATGGTCATCGATGGTTAGCTACATTGAGTGATATGGCTGGGNTGGGTGTCGCAAACAGTGGCGTTCGTGCATCCACTCGTTATTTTCCTAACACCACTCTATATGTATTTCCCATCTCCCGCTTGAATTTGCTTCGACATTCCAATCTTTATTTCGCGCTTTTATCCAAATGGGCAACCAAAAGACAGCAACCAAAACCGGTGCATGGTTAATGGTTGTAAAAACTGAAACTGAACTGAAATTCTTCCTCAAAGGGGGGAAAGGCTCCATGAGATTGCTATTTACATCGTTAGCACAGTGTCATCGAAGCGCACAAACCCAATATTCACAATTTCAACAATTATCATATTGCTGTTGAACCAGCTAAGTAAGAACTATGTTGAGAATTATAGGAAAGTAGATGGCGAATGCCTTACCAGACCAAAAAAGCATCCGTCGCCTGGGTAACACATGAGTTCCTCATCATTAGGAAGTATAAAAGCGGGAAGATTTCAAGATCAAGGTCTAGCAAACAGTGTACCATGTCAAGAAACACAGGGCACTCATGTAATGAACGCCAAATAACTGATGAATTTTACAACTCCACCGAACTAACCTCATGGTCACAGTGAACGGTTAAGTAGAGACGCATCATGTCTGCAAACTCGGGCTTTNGAAGTTAAGCGACCAGTCCTTAGCTGGATCGATTGCACCAACGGAGGTCCCGTCGCGAAACATATTCCGATAAATTATAGCGGCAACCACCGGTAATTTTGCAAGCAGGTCCATTGTATCCTCATATACATACTGGAAGAGGATAAACCAGCAGGCTTATTGGCAAGTGTGAATGGGCAACAGAAAGTTCCGGCAAACAAACAGCTATCACCTAAAAGGATACACCAAACATCACGGAAATATGATCACATTTATTCTTGGACTCAAAATTTTCATTTCAAGTGTTACTTGTGAACGTATACAAACAAACATACCAATGACCTACCTCCCAGTAGACGGCTTTTTTAATTCCTTGACTATATGCATGGGCAAACTTGGACTCCGATTGCATGGCAGCACATGCAGCAACCAATTGGCTCATAGGGTGCAGTGAGGAAGGGAAAGTGTTCAGCATATTAATAACATGAGGAGGAAGATCGGCACGGTTGGCCAACTCTTTTGAAATGTCATCTGTCTCAGCCTTCGTGGGTATTTTACCCGTTAGTAACAGGTAAAATATTCCCTCGGGAAGAGGTTGAGAACCTCCAACAGCCTTCGGAAGTACCTTTTGGCATTCGGGAATAGTAAGTCCGCGGAAGCGAATCCCTTCATTCACATCCAAAATGGATGTCTCGGTCACCAATCCTTTAATCCCCCTCATTCCACCATAAGCCTGAAACTCATAATTTATTCAAATAACAACCTACCATATCCACAGTAACCTCTCCGATTTTCGAAGATCCATACTCTTTTCTGAACTTCGCGACTCTCGCTTGTTCTTTCGGTATTAGATCAGCGAGTACATCTTTCAGATTCTGAAGAGAAATTAAAGAGTAAACAACATTAAGACTACTTCTTACCGATTGTAAGTGTTGCGTTGCTGATATCGATCTGGTGGCCCACACCAAGTTCGCAGCAGACTTAAGCTGCACGGTCCTTGAGACAGCGAACATGGTGAAGTCGAAGTCGACGGTTTGTTCAAGGTGAGAGAGTTTGGATCGCAGTGAAAGTTGGCTTAAACAAAAGTGATCCGCATCCATTAAACCTCGATCATACTAGAACAAATTTTAACTTTCATGTCATTTTTTATCTGGTATAGCGATTCTCTTCTACGTTCCCTTGAAGTCTTGGAGTGGTCAGGTCAGGTCGGGTCACAGGACTTGCGGCTGATGCCAATTTGATCCAGGTTCTAGCACTGTGAGCGTAACGTTCGCCTACGTATGCTTTGACAACAGGGAATCCTGTACGAGCCGCTTTGTGGGCCCCTGGCTGC